CGCACCGGCCGGGGAGGGGCGGCGGGGATCCGGCTCCGGCCGGGGAGAGCGGCATCGGCACCACCGTGACCGCCCCGCGGGCACCGGGGCCGGTTTGGGGGGGTGCAGCACCCCATAGGTCCCGTGTGTTGAGTGCTCCCCTCCAGGTCTGGGGGTCCGCAGCTGCGGGGGTCTCGTGTCCTGCCGTCCCCAGGGTCAACCCCACGGTCCAGATTACACAGCCCGGGGGTCGCACACCCCTGCGAAGCCACCCCCGCCTCCTCCAGGACTCACACATCCCTGCGACAATTCCCCAGGATTGTGCATCCCTGGGATCCGCATTTCCACGGGCTTTAAGACCCTGTGACCCCGCTGTCCCAGGGTGCCCACACACATCCTGGGGGTCACTCATCCCTGTGTCCTCTCCCTGATCCTCCATCTCTAGGATCCCACATTCGGGTGTTATCCATCCCTGTGACCCCAGTACCCCAAGATCTCACCTCTCCAGGACTCTCACTCATTTGGGTTCCCAATTCCAGGGGTCTCAAAGCCCTGTGATCCCAGCTCCCTGCACCCACACCTCAGGGGTCTCACATCCCCGGGGTCACCTCATGGGGGTCCCTGGCGTGCAGCCAGGCTGTGTCCCCAACCCAGCCCCGGGGGCTCTGGCTCACGCCCAGGCCCCTCCTCACCCCTGCTGGGGGTGTCCCATCCCATGGGGTCTGTCCCACTCCAGTGGGGTTTGACCCAGGAGTTGCTGCCCCCCACCTGGAAGGTGAAGAGGGAGGGGGGTCCCGCCCTCGCAGAGGCCTTTGTGTCACCAGATAAAGCTGGGGACAGTGCCAGCCACTGTGGCACTTCGCCACTTAACAGCCCCGTGCAAACACCAGCCAATTAATTAATTAACCAGCCCAACCCCCCACAGGGGCCAGGAGAGCCTGGCCCAGGAGGGCGGGGGAGGTCTCAGGAGCTCAGCAAGGTTTTGGTTATTTATTCCCGACAATGGTATAAAAAGTCCCGTGTTAGAAAGCTGTACAAAGGGGGTGCTGGGGGCCCCTCCGGCACCCAGCGGAGGGGAGGGATGGGGAAGGGCCAGGGGATGAAGGATGGGGTAGGGGTGCAGCACAGGGAGGAGTGGGATGTTTCTGATAACCCCGCTCCCCTGGCTGCGGGGCATCTCCAGCCTGTCTGTCCTCTCTGACCACTGACACTGGGGGTAAAACAGCCCCCTGCACCGGTGTCACCTGGCCACCCCCATGTCCCCGCCAGCAGGACACGTTCCAGTTCGAGCCCACCACGGGGAAAACCCTGAAGGTGGTGGGCGAGCTCAGCTGCGGGGCAGGGGTGCCAGCCCCCTGCCCCTCTCCAGTCTGGGGCACTTCAGCCCCTCCAGCTCCAGGCTCCCGCTCAGCCTCTGGCTGCCAGGACTGTCCTGGAAGGGCCAGGGAAGCCTGAAGGCCCCAATTGCTCTGATGGCTTTGGGCCCTCCAGCCCCGTAATACTGACAAATTCTTTCCTCGCCCAGATGTGCGCAGGGCAGGGCACCTGGGGCAGATGTGCTGGGACCACGGAGGTCTCCAGTGGCCTCAGCCTCGGTGGGTCCAGGCACGTGGGGCAGCTCAGAGCCCCTGCGGCACCAAGAGGGGCAGGAGGAGGCTGATGAAGGTGAAGGGGCGGCTGCTGCTGCGCATGGCCGAGTTCTGCCCCACGCTCCTCAGCACGTGTGCGGCTGCATCGTCTGTGGGGGGGAAGAGAGGAGCCATCAGCAACCCCAGAAGATAAACCGTAACCCCAGCCAGCAGCACATCACCCCTGCACAGGGTTGCCACCAGCCTTGGTACCTCAGAGCTCCCCAGGAGGGGCAGATGAGCTTAGCCCAGCGCCCCTGACAAACCCCTGTCCCACCATGAGGGTGGCTGCGTTCAGGCCACCTGAGCCTGCCTTGGTCCCCCCAGGGAAGGCAGCTGGGCTCAGCCTGGTGCCCCCAAGAACACCCCATCCCCCGGGAAGGGAAGCTGGCTCAGTCCCAACCCACAGCCCCCAACACACCTGCCTGGATCCTCCCCTTCTGTGTCGAGGCCGGGGCAGGTGGTGCCGGAGCTGTGGAGGAAACGGGGGGATCATGCCAAGGAAGAGCAGCACCCCAACCTTCCCAAAAATTCTGTTTCACTGTGGGCTGCCCCCCCTTTCCCCACCACCAACACCTTCCCGGCTGAGCCGCGCGTGCCCACACCCGGGGCTGGCCAGAGGCCACGGCCAGGCCGTGACTCAGCCGCGGCCAAGGCCACGCTGGGCACCGGCGCCGCCAGCGGGAAGGAGGGGACGCGGGGGGGGCCCTGAGGGGGTGCTGATACTCACTGCCTTTGCCTGTCACCGTCACCTTCAGCTTCAGGCAGGCTTCACCGTGGTGGTGGATGGGCTTGGCTGCGAAGGGAGAGGCAGG